CTCTCTCTCTCTCGTCTCTCTCTCTCTCTCTCTCTCTCTCTCTCTCTCTCTCTCTCTCTCTCTCTCTCTCTCTCTCTGGTCTTAGTGCCACTAGACGGGACAGAACACCACACCCAGGAGGTGTGTGGATTACACTCTCACCCTGATACTATATGATAGGGCCCTTCATTTTTGGTTTTTGTTTTTATTTTATTTTTCCCAGGAATTTGTCGGTGTTTAGTAATACAACAAACACAGGTGAAAATTAGTGGAAAAAACTACTAATAATGTTCTGGGTAAATATCGGGGTTTATTTTGGTGGACAGAAGGACAGGGGAAAAGAGTATTTGGTAGGTTAGTGCTTTGATGAATGGAATTCAATATGGTTTGCTGTGGAACTAAAACATAACTCAAAACACAATTCCACGTTGGAGTTTAAGAAAACAATCCCCAAATAAAACTTTTCATTTGAATAAACAGTTTATTGTTGTAGACTTAGAACTATTAGCCTATAAATGTTTACATTTAATAATTGGGCCACACTATTTGCAGCGTATACACTCAACTTCATCCTTTCTCCTGTTTTTGTTTTTTAAAACTTTTGAATACTTCCTTGTGTTCTGAAACGTATTCTGATACAGATTTTTGTTTTCTTCCCATTTTAGTGTGTCAAATCTTTAAATTGTTATCTACTAACAGCTTGAAATGTGTACATGGTTGGCATGAGATTCATCAGTATGTTCAGATGTGCATGCACTTCAGAGCTTGCATATGTGCCTGTTTGTTTATTGTGTGTATCCTTAGACTAGTAAGTAGCTGTATGACTCATGCCCTCTCACTTGGGGTGCTCTTTTCACTGCTTTGCTGCTGTGTCCTCCAGTCTGGACAACCCACAAGTGGCCTCCAGCATGTAAGTCACTTTCACCTATGTCTGTGTGCACTTGCAAACTGCCAGTCACACTCGCAGCTCTTTTACTGCTAAAGTGTGGCTCCCGGAGCTCTTCATGCGCCCTCCCCTCCATTCTCCACCTACCAGACTGGGGGTGGGGTGAGAGCTCGGGACCTTCACCTTGCAGCAAGGTGGTGGGGTAGGGGCTTCAGCCCAGAAGGGAGGGGGGTCTTGGGGTTTCTGCCCAGTGGGGTGTACCTGCCTGGGCTTGGGCTTCAATAGGAGCAGGGCTGAAGCCCTGAGCCCAGGCTCCAGCAGGTGCACCCCAGCTTTTGAACTTCTGAAGATTGTTGTATGTGGCTTAGAGGGCCAGTAAGTTTGGCCACCCCTGCACTAGCCTGAATTACAGTGCAGGGTGACCCCAGCCTACTCCCAGTCCCAAACTTTCCCAAGAAATATACGTTTTATACTGTCCAGCTCTCTCCTGGACAATGCAAAGGTATATAAAGTCCATCATTTTATTAATAGAAATGAGATACACAACTCCTGTTATTCCAAATGGAGTTCCCAAACACTTCAAATCAAACACACTGGTTTAGATAAAACAAGTTTGTTAACTACAAAGAGAGAGATTTTAAGTGAGTACAAGTAATGAGGCATAAAAGTCAGAAATGGTTACAAGAAAAATAAAGATAAAATGCAACTAATGCCTAACTTAACAAACTGTGGTACATTCACAGCAAAGTTTCTCTCACCACATACTCTCAGTATTCTTATTGCCAAACTTCTTGTCCAGGAGCCCCTTTTCTGTGTAATGGCTGCTATTATTTTTTTCATTTTCACTACATCTCTTTTCCTCCTTATTTCTTAAGTTTTTAATGATAGTTTATCTTTTATTGTAGCTTATTTCATTTCATTCTTGCTTTACTTAATAGTTTTCTAACAATGTTTTTCTAATAATTTCTTAGATTACATCAAGACTAGTTACTTTTTCCTCTCATTCAATTGTACTATTCTTCCTTTAACGTTCCCACTTTTCCCCTTCTATCACTGCCTTTTTTCTTTCAAAGTACTGTCCCATTTGTCATTGTTCCTACTATTTCTGTCTGTCCTGTCCCTCCTGAACTGGATTTTCTCCCTTCCGGCTCTATTCCTGGAAACCCTCTGATGACAACTCGCCAACTGGGGTCTGTATCCACTGGTTCCCCACTTACTGTGTCCCTTCTTTTCTGGTGTTGGTTGCTGTCTCTTTTGCTACTGGCGCCTTTCTCTCCCAGTACTGGGAAGCTTCCTCCAGACTCCACCAGCCTTTCTGCTGCTGTCCATTTAGCCTGCACTCAGCAGTGCTCTGGGAGAGCTGAGGCCTCTCTCCAGCATTGTTTCCCCCCCTTTTCCTTCCCCACAACCCATCCCAGCTCCAGCTCACCCCTTTTCAGTTGCCCTGCAATCCTTGGAGTTCTTGAGACTCTCCCCAGAACAGTTATTTTGGGCTCCCCGCTTTTAAAAAAAAAGAAATTCTAAACCCAATGAGGCTGCCTCCGAGCTGCCAACCTGTGTTCCTTCCATCACTCCTTTGACCCAACATTGTCCAATAAAGGCAGGGCAGAGAGTAGGCTGAGTGGGACAAGGGGGGGATATTAAGGCAGGAGGGAGGCTGAGGGGGGGTGCACAGGACAACGATGGGGCGGGAGATGGAGGGGATAGAATGGCAGCTGAGGGCGGGGGAAGGAGAGTCCCTTCCCAGCAGCCAGGGAAGATAGTGTTGTCAGTTTTTGCCAACTGATCAAGACTCACAGGATTTTGGCATCTGCAGGGAGAGCTGTCATGATGACACAAGAAGTTCCTCTCATCCTGTGATTTTCAGGGCAGGCATGCACCCCGAGCTCTGTGTGAGAGCCTCCAGGCTGAGGACACAGATCTGCCTTGCCATACAGGAAAGAGGGGAGTGGGGAGTCAGGGTAGTGGTGCTGCTGGCACTTGGACGGAGAAGTCCCAAGGCAGGCAAGTGGGAACTCAGAGAAGTGGTGTAGCTGGGTTCCAGTCCTAGGGCAGTGGGAGACAGAAGTGTTGCTGCTGGATCATGATAGCACAACAGTAAAAAAAAACACACAACCTAGACTAAAAAACTATTTGATTTTAAGAAAGCCTCATGAGTTGAGGATCTGGCTCCTGACTTTTGAGGTCTTGAGGCTGGCAATACTGCTAGCATGTTTGCACATTAGTAGGGAAGACAAGCCCTTCCAGGGCATGGCAAGAGGTGTTTCTCTGCAGTGGTGTTCTCTTCCTTTGTTCCCTATTATTACTTTCTATATAATTTAATGGGAAAACATAGTAAAGCTGGTTCATCTCTCTGGAGAGGCTGAGGGAGAGATAGGGAAGGTTTTGAATCTCAGGCCTGAATCAGTTGATGCTTTTACTCTGCCAGTAGAATGAATAATTCTGGCACTTTCCTGAGCTCTTTGATCTACTCCCTGTTCAGAGCTGGGTAAACTGGAGGAAGAAGAGTCTCTAATTTGCTGACAGCTCAGACAGATTATGTCACAGAAATGAATACAACCTGGCCTAGAGACAAGATCTGCCTCTAAAACTCTGATTTTTCTCTTTCTGCAGCCAGCGTGATTCTGGATCCAATCACTGCTCATCCTGATCTCATCCTGTCTGAGGATCAGACATGTGTAACAAAAGGAGATATAGCACAGAATGTGCCAAACAATCCTGAGAGATTTGATTCTTCTGTGTGTGTCCTGGGTTCTGAAGGTTTCACATCAGGGATACATTACTGGGAGATGGAAGTGGGGAATGGTGGTGACTGGTGGGCTGTAGGGGTTGCCAGAGAGTCTATAAAGAGGAAGGGATGGCTCAATTTTAGCCCAGTGGAGAAGATCTGGGCTGTGGAGTGTGACTGGGGTAAATACCAGGCTCTTGACTCCTCTGTGATCCATTTGCCTCTGAATGAGCGACTTGGGAAAATTGGGGTTTCACTGGACTTTAAAGAGCACTATGTAGCATTTTATGATATTGATAACATGGTGCCAATATACACTTTCAAAGACGTCTCTTTCTCTGATGAGAAAATCTTTCCTTTCTTTTGTATCTGGAGAACTCCAGGAAAATATATCAAACTGTGTGACCGAGAAAAGAGTTAGCCCTACATTTTCAAGTGTCCATTATTTTTTGGTGCCAGCACTCAAAATTAGTGGGCACTTATGAAAATTTAGAGCAAATTACCTCACTGTGCCCAGAATTCTGTACCTTTCAAAACTATAGAAAACATGAATGGTCAGGAGAAAATGTCAATGGAACAGCATTTACCCAAGTTATTTTTCTCACTGTGACGGGTTGGATCACAGAAACCCCCTTGGGAACTGCCACCTGATGTGCAAAGACTACCTCTGCTCCTGTTTTCCCTGCCAACTCAGGACTCCAGCACCCTGTCTTGCTGAGCCAGACACTCCGGTCTGCTCCAACACAGACCCAGGGTCTGAATTACTTGTCCCAGAGTTGCAAATTTACCCGAAAACAGCTCACAGAAGTGTGCTTCTCTTTAGCACTCAGATTCGCAACTCCCAATGGGGTCTAAACCCAAATAAATCCGTTTTACCCTGTATAAAGCTTATGCAGGGTAAACTCATAAATTGTTTGCCCTCTATAACACTGAGAGAGAGATATGCACAGCTGTTTGCTCCCCCAGGTATTAATACATACTCTGAGTAAATTACTAAATAAAAAGTGATTTTATTAAATACAGAAAGTAGGATTTAAGTGGTTCCAAGTAGTATCAGACAGAACAAAGTAAGTCACCAAGCAAAATAAAATAAAATGCGCAAATCTATGTCTAATCAAACTGAATACAGATAATCTCACCCTCAGAGATGCTTCAGTAAATTTTTTCTCAGGCTGGACACCTTCCAGGCCTGGGCACAATTCTTTCAGCTGGTACAGCTCTTGTTCCAGCTTAGGTGACAGCTAGGGGATTCTTCATGATGGCTCCTCTCCCCCTCTGTTCTCTTCCACCCCTTTATCTATCTTTTGCATAAGGCGGGAACCCTTTGTCCCTCTGGGTTTCCACCCCCCTCACTAGAAAAGCACCAGGTTAAAGATGGATTCCAGGTCAGGTGACATGATCACATGTCACTGCAAGACTTCATTGCCCACTTGCCAGCACACACACATACAGGAAGACTAACAGGTAAACACAGCCATCTGCAGACAATGGTTCTGGTTAATGGGAGTCATCAAGATTCCAAACCATCATTAATGGCCCACACTTTATATAATTACAATAGGCCCTCAGAGTTATGTTTTATATTTCTAGTTTTAGATACAAGAGTGGTACATTTTTACAAATAGGATGATCACACTCAGTAGATTATGAGCTTTGGAATGATACCTTACAAGAGACCTTTTGCACGAAGCATATCCCAGTTGCATTATAGTCACTTATTATCAAATCTTTATAAAACTATTCCAGTTACATTATATTCACTTATTATCATGTTTTTATAAAACCATATAGACTGCACAACGTCACACTAATCTCTAGTATTCTGGAGGCCAAGTGTGATAAATGAAGGGTGGGGAGAGGGGAGCTCCCTTTTATGAACACACAGCCAGCCAGTTAGCTGTAAAATCCCTCTTGGTAGCTGTTCTCTGCTTGCTTTTCCTGTAAAGGGTTAAAATGTCCCCAAGGTTAAAAAAAAAAAAAAAGGAGTGGGCACTTGACCAAAAGAGCCAATGGGAAGGCTAGAACTTTTTAAAATTGGGAAAGAACTTTCCCTTTGTCTGTTGTTCTCTGGGCTGCAGGGATGGAGCAGCAATGCTATAAGCAGGAATGCTATGTAAGGTTTGAATCAGATATGAAAAATTATCTTCTGTACCTAGGAGGAATTATTTGCATAGGGAATGTTTAGATAAATGCCATTAGATTTATTTCTTTATTTTGGCTTGTGGATCTCCTCTCTGCTAACCCCAGATGCTTTTGTTTGGTTGTAACCTTTAAGCTGAACCCTGTTTTGGGTGCTTAATTTTTGGAATTGCTCTTAAAATCTAGCAAAAGCCTAAATTCCAGATGTATTTTCTTTCTTTTTGTTTTTAATAAAATTTACTTTTTTTAAGAACAGGATTTGGATTGTTGGGTCCTAAGAGATTTGTGCTTGTGCTGTTTGATTAGCTAGTGGCAACAGCTAATTTCCTTTGTTTTCTTCACAGCTCTTCCTGGAAGGGGGGGGGAGTGAAAGGGCTTGAGGGTACTCCACAGGGAGGAATTCCCAAGTGCTCCTTCCTGGGTCCAAGGGTATTTTTTTTTTTATTTTTTTTTTTGCATTTGGGTGGTGGCAGCATTTACCAAGCCAAGGCCAGAGAAAAGCTGTAACCTTGGGAGTTTAATACAAGCTGGGAGTGGCAAATATTAATTTTTAGAATCGTTGTGGGCCCCACTTCTGCACTTGAAGTGCCAGAGTGGGGATTCAGCCTTGACACCAAGTCTACACAGGGTCTGAATGAGCTCTTCCCTGTCCCCTCTCCTATTGATGGGCTGGGGGGAAAGACTTCAGGAGCAGACCGTGTTCGCATAGGCACACCTACTCTGTCTACGTGCACACCATGATTGAGCTTCTTTGCCAAAATGATCAATTATGGTTGGTTTGGGGTTATAAATCACTTTAGTACTTGAATACAGGGGTAATGAAATGTTATCCTGATTGTATGGGTAAAGGACAGCAGAACTGTTCATAGCATGCTCTGACAAGGTTTCATTTAGGGTGACCCCCCTCACTCACTAAGCAGGGGTAGGGATGCTAAATCCCAGTGAAAGGGAAAGAGGGTGGGGACAGGTGGTTGTACCTGGTGGCATTGGTGTTGCTGAAAGAATCCTAGACACTATTTGACTTTCACCAAAGAGCTCATTAGACTCAATTAAAGACTGGAGAGGTAATCCCAAAGCAAAGGGGAAATAAGGTGGGATAGTAAAATGGGGTGTAGACAGGTCCTGGAGAGAGGAATCTGGGAAAGAGAGAAGGTAGGGATTGACTTTTTTTTCTGGATAAATGTTGATAACTGTGAAGTAATGCACATTGAAAAACATAATCCCAGCTATACAAAATGATGGAATCTAAATTAGCTCTTTTCCCTTGTGATGCCATATGATTGGAACATGACCATTTATATCATTAATATTGCAACAAATCTTGTACAAAGTATGTCATGTGTGGTATCAATGGAAAAGTTACAATCTATCAAATATCACTATCCTGTTTGTATGCACATATCATTTTTGTATCTGAAGTTATGAATATTGACTATATACTGTATTTCAAATGTGTTTGTTCCTGGGGTAACACCTACAGGGTAGTTTGCATCAAGTCTAGCCAGCACTAAGCTCTTGGAATTAGAAAAAAAACTTTATTTGATTAAATTGTTTTTAAATAACCACTCATCATTAAGTCTAGTGTCTGGGTGATGAAACAAGGGCTGGGATACCTAAGGAGACTGCATTTCTGACTTCTTGTTAACCAGTGTGATGAGACAAACATTTATTCTTCCATAGGATATACCAAGCCAGTCACAAAAATAATCAGCAGTTTGGGGTGGGTCTGCCTCATTTCTTGGCCGTTTGTCCTGAATTTTGTATTCTCAGCTGTGACCCACTGAAAGACAGTCAGTGACATTTGGCATACTTTTTGCAGGATTCACAGAACCAGGTCAATTAAGCTTTGGATTAGAACCCCACACTATTCAAAAATTTGATAATGAGAGTTTTAAGGGTTAAAGAGTAATTACAATGAGTGAGCAATGACCATATGATGGTCTTGACAGAAAAAACCCTGGAAGGTTTATGCTCACAAAAGAGCTTATCCTTTAGGAAGAAAGCAACTGATCAAGAACTGAAAAATCTGTTAGCCCCAAATGCAGCTGCTGAAGCAGAAGCAGTAGCAGTGGGAATGCTAGCAGTGGAAAACTAACAACAATTTGAACATGAACAAAAACTGGCAGATCTTCAATTGCAGGAAAAGCAAAAGATAAGCAGCTCATCAAAGGTGGATGGAACAGATGGCTGCTGAGGAAAGAGCTCATCAAAAACAGCTAGAAGCTGCCAACCTTCAACTCCAAGTCTTGGAAAAGGGAAAGGAAAAGAATCTGCCACAGCCTGAAACTCCATCTCCCCTCCTCAACAGCAAAAATTGGGAAAGGATTTGTCCCATTTACAAAGATACTGAAGACATGGAGGAATTTTTGTCTACCTTTGAACACCTATCCAGTCTTCACAAGGACTCAGATGAACAATGAATGCCTGTCCTCCTTAACCAGGTTGACTGGAAAAGCGCAAGAAGCATTAGATTATGTGCTGTTTAACGATCCTGTGTTTAAAGTGATTCAAGGTCACTCCTGAAACTTGCAGGGTAAAGTTTAGAAAATTTAAAATGTCTAATGACTGTACTTTTGTGGAATGTGCTCATAAATTAATAGGTTTTGTTTAAAAGTGGGTTGTGGGAGCAAAGGCTCATGGGAAGTTTGAGACATTTTTGGATGTAATCACTTTGGAACAATTTTTGGGCATTGTTTCTGAAAATATTAGAGCAGCTGTTTGTGATAGAGAACCTTCAGTCTTAATTGCTGCAGAAATTGCTGGTGTTTATCTACATAATAGAAATTATGAAAAGTCTAAACCCCAGTTTAAAAGGAGTGAAGGTTTTAAAAATAGGTCCAGCCCTACTTCTATTAGAAAAGCACATTGGAACCCAGAACATAAAAACTCTTATTCTAAGGGGAGACAGGTGGTCTATCATTTGTCTGGTACACGTGGATTTATCAAGCAGGAGTGTCCAAATTTTAAAAATAAACCAGCAAGGAATTTTCCTCCAGGGCAGATTGGCAGAGGCCCTGGAGGTTTTTCACCTTCCTCTGCAGCGTGGGGCACAGGTCACTTGCTGGAGGATTCTCTGCACCTTGAGGTCTTTAAACCACGATTTGAGGACTTCAATAACTCAGGCATAGGCTAGGGATTTGTTACAGGAGTGGGTGGGTGAGAGTCTGTGGCCTGCGTTGTGCAGGAAGTCAGACTAGATGATCATAATGGTCCCTTCTGACCTTAAAGTCTATGAGTCTAAATACCACAAAGCCCCCCAACATAAACTCTATAACTCTTTAAGCATAGAAGGTGACCAGATAAAGCCCAATGCTGCCACTTTGTGTGCAAATGCTGTTACTGTTGTCGCTGAAGGAATTAGCCTTAGGATCCATATTAAAAAGAGTGAGTTAATTAGCAGTGCAGAAATTAATGGAAAAAAGTGTATGGCATGGAGGGACACCACAGCTGGTATTACTTTGGTAAAGCAAGTCTTGTCAGAGAGGAAGGTTATTTGCCATATGAAATATCCACTGGGCAGCCAGAAATCAGCCTCTCTAGCCTCACACATCCTAGTCTCCATGACCCTGGAGGA